AGAGGGGGGGGGTTCAGCGGTGGGGGAGGGCTTTTCGTTTGAGGAGGCGGGTTTGCTTTAAGTGGGGGAGGTGCGCCACGTGGGGGAGGATTTACCGCTGGGGGCGAATTTCTGGTTTGAGGAGGCGGATTTGCTTTGGGGGGTGGAGGTTGTGTCAATGCTGTTTTTGGAGGGGGAAGGGCCCGGCTAGGAGGAGGGTTGAGCGCCGGGGGCGGGCTTTTGATTTGTGGAGGCGGGGATGAGGAAGCCACGGGACTTTGAGGCGGGGCACCCGTGGGCGGTGGATTCTTGAGTGGCGGACTACCTTGAGTTGGGGGAGGTTGAGAGAGCGCAACTTTTGGAGGTGGGGAACCGCTCAGAGGGGGAGGATTGCGAGGAGGTGGCGGGTTCTTAAATGAGGTTGGGGGAGGGGAAGAAGGCACGGGGCTCTGAGGGGGGGGCACTTTGGGAGGAGAAGATTGGAGGATAGATGGAGGCGGATTGCTTTGAAGGATGGAAGATATTGCAGGTGGGGGAGGGCTCTTAGACGCGGTTGGGGGAGGGGAAGAAGGCACGGGGCTCTGAGGGGGGGGCACTTTGGGCAGGGGAGATTGGAGGACAGTAGGAGGCGGATTAGCTCTAAGGGGAGGAGGATTGCCAAGTGGCGGAGGGCTCTTGGACGCGGTTGGAGAAGGGGAAGACGGCACGGGACTTTGAGGGGGGGGCACTTTGGGCGAGGGAGATTGGAGAAGTGGTGGCGGGTTGGCTTTAAGTGGTGGAGGTTGAGAGAGCGTGAGGGTGGGAGGGGGAGAGGACGAAGCAGGTCGAGGGGGGGGGATGGAGCTTGTTGTTTTTGGTGGTGGGTTGGCATTAGGGGGCGGAGATGAGGCAAGACCGAGGTTTGAAGGAGGGGGGCTATTTGAGGGGAGAAAATTCGAAGGAGGGCTGTTGGTTTGAGAAGGGGGGGTGGGCAGATTGGCAGGTGGGGATAGGGGCACAGCCCTGGGCGGTGGGTTACTTTGCAAAGGGGGGGAGCCGCTGGCGCTAGTAGAAAGGGAAGTGGCGCTGGTGCTAGTAGAAAGGAGAGTGGCGCTCTCAGTAGGAAGGGGAAGGGGAATGCTGGGTAAGGGAGGAGAAGGAGAGGGACTGGATGGTGAAGGAGTTGGAGATGGGGGAGGGTTAGGCTGGGCAGATTGGAGCACAGGAGGCGGGGAGTTGGCTTGAAGAGCAGGAGGTGGGGTTTGCTCGCTTTTAGGTGGCGGGGACCTGCTTGAGGCTGTGCTCGCGGGGGGTGTCGGCTGGGGTGTTGTAGGCAGGGGTGTTGTAGGCAGGGGTGTTGTGGGCACGTTTGTAGGGGGAGGCTGCGAAGGGGAGGGAAGGCTGGTCCCCGGGGGGGGGGGATTTACGGGGAGGGTAGTCGGCTGGGGTGTTGTAGGCTGGGGTGTTGTAGGCCCATCTGTTGGGGGGGGCTGCAAAGGGGAGGGAAGGCTGGTTCCCTGGGGAGAGGGAATCACGGGGAGGGTAGTCGGCGAAGGCAATGTTGGTGGGCTTCCTGCAAAGTGGATCCAGAAAATGTTTTGGTGCACTATCAATTAGAAGGTTTTGCTGGGGGGTTTAACGAATCTCTTCGAATAGAAACATGTGCTATCCAGTAGTGAGACTGCACCACTCAACCGGACTTGAAACTGCCCGTCAGGACTGCTCATTGGTTACACTTGACCGTTCGGGTTGGTAACACTAGTCAGGGTGTGAAAATTGAAAAACCATTATTTGTTTGCAGCAAGTTCTCTTGACGGCACTCTTAAGTCAGCCTAACCACAAGTCATCAATCACAAGGTACTGAAAAGGGGCCTGTTCATCGAGATTGTTTGAGAGCTTGAGCTGCGCCGCATTCAGACCAGAAAGGTTTTAGATTTGAAGCCATATTATAATGAACAGCACCAGGCTCCCAAGATCTAGTATAGGATTCTTCACCTGTGGGTGGTCCTTGAGCTGCAGCAAGGTTCCGCGAGGCAGCCAGGATGTGTGCTCCTAGCACCAAGCAGAGCCACACCGAAATGGGAGCCATTGCGAATAAGCCTATGATCACAAGGAGCAACAGTTCTGTAAGATTCTGTTTTTCAAAACCTCCAAGAAATGGACGTTACAGTTTGGATTGGCAACGAAAAGCAGGTCAACCAGGCACAGCCCTTGTCTGCTTATTGATACTTTCTGCTCAGGCAACATTACCAGAGGTGCTGTGCTTTCCGTCTTGAACGGATCTGAAAGACCGCCTGATATTTTCGTGCAAGCCGTGAAACATAGGCAACTAGTGGTAAAGGCAATACTGAAATGTAGGCATTCAAGTGGAATACAAATGGACCAGCTTTACTTCTGAAGTATCTAAGCGGAAGACCTTTAATGCAAAAGGCACAACTCTCTTAAATTGGGTTAGTCAATCTGCCGCCAGAACAAAACCTTCTCAAGCCAGTACTCCCCCTTCTCCCAAGTTTTTGATTGCAATGCAATGTCAAGATGAGGTTTCAGCATATCTGCTAGATTGTTTGAGACAGTTGGCACCAGACCAGTAGGCCTTATACAAATTGTACAAGCAGTGTGATTTGATCCCTTTGTGTCTTATCAACAAGATTGAAATCTTTCAACCTCAGCTTTTCAGTGTCAGTTGATGGGCAACTCTGCTAAACAGACTGCCATGAGCAGAAAACCATGGCCAGGTGTCACCTGTCAAACACAGCTCACCAGTTCAAGTTGGGTTGGAAGGCTTGAGCTGCTACGCCCCAGCTTCTACTGCTGGTGACTGAGGAACCCCCTGGGGAGTGAACAGCTCGAGTCTAGACGCACTCAGAATCTTGGCACCTGCAGACATGCGGCGCTGGTCAGTACTTTGATTGGCGCCCTCGTGAACATAAAGCCACAGTGCCTGCACAAGACCTGGGGAAAATGGAGAACCATTGTCGGAGCTTCTTAGGTGAGTTACCACAGGAGAAGAAACTGAACTTGAACAACTGGTCAGCAATGTATCACTATCTGATCCTATTTGTGGCACTAAAGATAAATATCATTGTTTGGCAGAGTGGTGCTGGGTGCTATGCCATACTGAGGCTCGAGTTTTGTCTACTGAAAAAGCGCTCAGGCCTCGCCTCGACTAGCAATTCTTTAGATGGTCCTTCAGATGTAATAGGTGGAGGTTTGAGTATACAACGGGTGTAGAACTGCCAAATGGAGTTCACGCCCCCGACGGAGGATTTGAGGTAAGAGACCCGTTCACAATCTTGAACCCATGTTGCTCATCCAATGGCATTGCGCACCTCCCATAAATTATGAGAAGACACTGGCAACAGATCTGCCCACCGGGGTCGCAATAGAACGCCTAGAACCCCTTTGCCATAGCTAGCTGAAACGTCTAGATGCGCGCTTTGTACTAATTAGCGAACGGACCTCAGAAAGAAATTGGTCTTACCTTTCCAACCGTCAACCCGTCGCATCAGCTCAGCAATCAGTGGGTGCCCGCTTTCTCTCTTCAGGCCCCTTCGATAGATTCTGAACTCCAGGTTGATTTTTTGTCAATCCACTCGCTCAAACCACCTGCTCAGTAGCTAACGCAATGTCTCAAGCAGGTCAACAAGACACCCGCTTCCCAATGGCAAGCTTTCCAGCATCCCCATTCGGTGCCTTTCAACGCGCACACAGATGGGAAAACGCCGCCGACGCGCAATGCTAATCTCAACATGTGAACATGAGCAGCAGAGGTGGTATTCGTTACGAGAAAATTCTCTCTGCTGCTTAGTGCCCTCTCCCTATAACAGGTCTACAAGGGTTTGCTGTGCCCAGTTAAAAGCATGGGACCGATCCGATGCGCGCTTGTCCCTGCCAGTGGCTTGGGCCGGCAGACAGAACCACAGATTCGCTTGCCGATGAACAAACAGACTTGTCAGCAGCCCCGCATTTTACCCAGACTCTAGTAGCCTAGAGCTGCATGATCCGAGGAGGAACTTTGCCGAGCGGGCGGTGTACGGTCGCTTCGTTTCGCCCTTTGATGCCGTAATTTCAATTTCTGACAAGATGCTCCTGGCTCTGGAGGGCTGCAGCTCGGAACCCCTTCATCTACCGTGACAGTACTAACTATCTACAGTACTTACTCTGGAGTCTGATCTACTGACGACGGCACACAATCGACGTGACCGCGGGACCCGCTCGACCCTGTCGGAAGCTATGAGCTTACGCGAGTGCTGACGCAGTATGTCGGCCGGAGATGTCGTGACTCGTATAATCCTGGCAATGCCAGATTCTGGACACTGGCAGCCAAAGTACCGTGAGACGAGCGCGTGCCACGTGGCCGGCTCAAAACGTGTTTGCCAGCGACCTCTAAGCAGGCGACGTCCGTACTCCGGTGCTGACATCTGATCTGATCTGCAGTCAGATTTGCTGTACATCGATCAGTGCTCGCTAGTAGCTACTCAGTCTCTGCCAATCACAGTGACTGCTGCGCTAGTGCTGGGCATTCAAGCAAGGCTTCCGGTCGTCAAAGTTGGCCGTCCGGCGCCGGATCCGAGAATTAGGTAGTCGGCGCCGCGACCGTACAACGTACTTTTACTGCGGCACTACACTGAAGAGGACTGTCGTCCGGTTTTGACGGGCAATTTGTGTGAGCGACCCCCACGTGGCAAGCGCCGGAGGGTCGGCGGGCGCCGACCGTCCGGAGAGTTTGTGTGACTCA